TGTCAGACACATTACTCTAATGTCTGCCAGTGGTGTCATGGCTTCCTTCCCCAAGTATTTGTCTTTACACAGCCTTCTTCTAAGGACAAGAGTCATTGGATCTAGGACCTGCTCCAATCCAATGTGACCTCAGATGATTACTTCTACCCAGTCTTTATTTCCACCTTCTCAGGGATTGGGGTTTAAGATCCCAACACACCTCCCTCAGACACAATTTTAACCCACAGTGCAGGTGAACAAGGGCACCTGCTAACATCCCCATATAATTCATAAGTAGATCTAATTCCCTAGGAGTTGGTCAGTGAGGTTCGTGACCAGAACAACTCTTGATTCCTGTTTTGGCAGCAGGAGACATAGAAAGCCATACTCAATTTTACTTACTTTATTGCTGTTCAGCTTTTTTGCAAACTTCAGACTTCAGGTGGAGAATGCTGTACAGCAGAGTCTGAAAGGTATCCATCAGCCTCCCCAGGCTCCTGTTCCCTCATTTCTGTGTACCTCGGTGTCCCTCCCTTTCTCCCCCAGTCCTCCAGGCACTAGACCCAACACCAATTCTTAGGAGAGGCAGTGCCAAGAAGATGACTGGAAAATTTTGGGAGTGCTTCCTGTGGTGCCACATGTTACCTGGGAAACTAGGGGCCCTTCTCAGGATTTTTAATTTCATTAATGGTAGAATTTAAGAACAGACTTAGAGGAAAGCTTGAGACAATTTTATTAGGGCAGGCAAACTAATCCTAAGCAGCTGTGCACTAGAGGGAGGAGGAAACCAGAAAGAACGAAAGCAAAAGCAGCCACGTGGCAGAAGGAAGTACAATAGCATAGAAAACTAACGAGAGAGGCCTAAGTGGGAAAGGCTTGGACGGCCGCTCTGTTTTATTCCATTCTCTGTTTCTAATGAAGAAAGGAACAGACAAACGTTATCACATGCCTAGGGCACATAAGTATTAGATTCCTTAATTTCTTTAAAACAACATTTAGTGGGTAAAATAAGCCTCATTGAAGAACTGCACATAGAATTGAGAGAAGAGTGTCTAGAAGGCACTGTTAAATTATGAAGTTTTAATTGTGGCAATAATCATTAGCCGACTAATTGTAACTCGTCAATTAGACCGATTGGTTTTCTCTGCAGACTTGGAGGAAAGTGAGACCAGTAGCAACAAGGGAAGCTCAGATGCCCCTGGCAAACCTGTGCAGCCCTCATAATTGTCGTTATCACAATGGACACAAGAAGGGGAGGGAAGAAACACAGTCAGGGAAAGACTGTAAGACAGTGAAAATGGTTGCTGTCTTTAAGTCGCCATTTTGAGGAAGATACAGGTTTATAATCATAGCAACACTTGGTGGAGACATGCACACAACAATATACCACAATTAGCGGTGTATTCCTGCCAGTAACACATGAAAGTATTTGTGGTGGACTGAAAGAGAATGGTCCTTATAGGCTCAGATCTTTGAATACTGGGTCTCCAGTTGGTAGAATTGTTTGGGAAGGAATAGGAGATGTAGCCTTGTTGGAGGAGAAGTTCCACTGCGAGGTGGGCTTTGTCTTTTTCCCAGTTAGTTCTCTATGTCTTCTGCTTGTGAATTGAGATGTTAGCTCTCAACTATTATTTTTACCTGCCTTCTTGCTGCCATGATTTCCATCATAATCATCATCTAACGCTCTGAAATCATAACCCCCAGATAAATACTTTCTTTTATAAGTTGCATTGGTCATGGTCACAGCAATAGAAAAGTAACCAAGACAATTATTTTAGTCACATTAAATCTTTCAGTCCTCACAACACTCCCACTGTATTGCATTTGAAGCAATACAATGGCCCAGGGAGGCTAGCAACTTTAAGGGTATGAAAGGATGAGTAGGAGGTTACCAGGGGTGAGGGTAGGAAAGGACATTCTATGAATCAGCAGGTATAATGGGAGTGGGCAGTTAATATTAAAGCAGTAATCAAAACCTATTAAGGAAAACTCCTGGTCAAGAGAATAGACTCTCTGGCCTGGGTAAAGGCCCAACATTCCAGTTGTGTTGGATCAATTACCTGGCCAAGGACCACTCCTAGGAAGACAGGCTCACATTAAGCCACATCAAAGAGTTAAATGGAATAATTTTTCTTTCAGTAAGATACTGTACTTATCTTTCCCAGAATTCCTGCTCACCTTTTCCCATGGCACAGTCTTTAAAAACAACCACAATGTTTGACTGGGCTTTTCAACCTGTCTGAGGCCTGAATCAGAAAGGCTCAACTGCTCCTTTTTCTGGTTTCTCTTTTATAGATGCCAGACAGAACTGTAAGTATATTTCTTCTGATACTTTGTTCTTTATACTGTCTTTAAAGCTCCCCTCCCTACTGTGTGGCTGCTTACCCACCATGCATCTGACATCCATACCAATTTAACTAGCATGGTAAATTTTCCTTCTCTCCTCCATCTTCCCCCTCTGGGAAGCTTCTGTGCTTTGCAGTTTGTCTGACCTGGGGCTTTCCACTTTCAAACTCTAATAAAATTGCCCTCAAGTTTCCATTGGAGTTTATTTTAGATGTCTTTTACTAATGAGACTAAGAATCCAAACAGGTGACTCCAACCTCTCCCGTATCATTTGGCAACTATGAAGGAACACCAAATTTCCAGTGACAATAGGTTGGATGTGAGGTTGAAGAAGGTTCCATCTGGTGAGCGTATGCCTGAGAGAGTAGACAGGGTGAGTAGAGTCTTGGGAGTAATGGGGCTAAATTAAGTTGAGCCAAAATTTGAATAAAAATAGGAATTACGGATTTCAGGGAAGAAGGAATGGGCCTTATTGTAGGATCTGATGCTAGAAAATGAATTCTGGAATTAACCGGTCCATGGAGAACACCTCTGACAGTGCTCCTGCAGAATGTAGGCAATATCACAACAAAGCTGCTGCTATATATGAAGTTCTTTAGAGTATGTCTCTAGGTTTATGAAACACACAACTCTTTCATTGTTGTTGCTTTGTCTTGACATTGTTTTTAAGAGCCATGGTGTTACATTGCCCAGGTTGTTCTTAAATTCCGGGGCTTAAGCAATCCTCATGCCTTAGCCTCTGAGTGGCTAGTATTACAGATGTGATTCCAATGCCTAGCCTGTAACTGTTTATGTAACACCTCTAGGTAACCTACTGAGGCAAACAATTCTGAGAGTCTTGCCCAAGACACTGTGCAGAAAGCAGGGAGGAGATAGACAGGCTTGAGCCATAGGACCCACATGGTTTGACCTGGGTGGCTGTGATCGTGGAGTTAGGAAGGGACTGGGGTTGACAATGGGAAATCTGGGAGATGTTAGGCTGGCCCAAGATGGAGTCCCCCAAAACACCAAGATGGACAACCCAGGTGGGAATGTGCCCTTTCAGGGAAATGGAAACTGAGCGTTCTGCACTTCTCACAAACCACATGAGCCTTATCTCATCAGAGCAGCTTGATCACAACATCCTGATACCCTAATGACCAGAAGTCCCCTTGAAAAGATGTTTCTCACAACAGTCAGTAGGAGTATCGGTATTGCTTGTAGCATTTCCTTTTCCCTTAGTGTTCTCCTGCCATTCTCCCATCTAACAAAAAAAACCACTCTATAAAATCCAAAACTCTCCTTCCCGTGTGACTGCTTTCCCTGGAGACAGCACATGTGTGAAGTCCATTTGCCAGGCGAACTGGATGTGACCAAGAGGATGTCTCCATTTCTAGTTCTGACAAGTGGTTAGTTAGTAGCACCATTAGAAGCAATTGAAGTCAAAGAACAGAATGCAGCTCTGTCCGAGGTCATGGCTTATGACAGGTCCTGATGATCCTCAGTCATCAGAGGTGACACCACAGGTAGCACTGGCATGCTGAAGAAGACTGGGGGCAACACTGCCAGAGTGTGAATCTCATGTTTGCTCCTTGTTAATTATGCATTTTGCGGGAAGGAGAGTTACCATTTCTGTCTCTGTTTTCTCATTTTCCAAATTAGAGGCAATAATAGCATCTATGTTATAAGCTGGTTGGGAGTGGAAAGTTAATATATGCAAAGCAATTTAGAATCCTGATTAAGGAGACAGTTCCATTAGGTAAGCCATTTTTCATGGTGCTAGTTGCTCTCAAACACCCTAAGCTCTGCCTAACAGAGTAGTCATTGGAGCAGTAAGAAGATGGGAGGCACTGAAGGAGGGAGGAAAACCAGAGGAAAGGAAGGCAGAGGAGAGGAGGAAGGGGGAAGAGAGAGGCCTCCTTGCTGTGCAGCTCCTTAGAATGTATTAGGTCAGAAACTATCTGTGCAGAGATTCTCTCAAAGCCAACTGGAGATCCTGAAATAATAGGTTTCAGGCAGGACATGGTCAGTAGTTATTCATTTGGTTTGTTTTTGTTTTATTCTTTAATGACCATTCCAGAGATAGAAAAAGAACTATAGAAAGTTATGATCAGCAATTGTATACTCATAGGTCAGAAGAAATAATACACCACAAACATAGACATAACCATTGGCTCTGAGACCCTGTTGCCAGCCCCTTCCTCTAATTCTCGATACTTTTGAAAATGTGTGCTTTAATTTCTTTTAAAATCAAAATAAATATCCTTAGTTTGGATTACATTTATCTATCAATGTAGTCATACAGTTCTAATATGCTTGTTATAACAGAAGGGGCCTAGGAAGGCAACGGTGCCTTGGGCCCACAAAGGTGACAAAGCATCTTAGAGCAGAAGGACCAGAGATTTACCACCCTGCTATCACTTAGCTACAGAATCAACAGCAGTGGCCTCCAGCTTCCTTCTTTTATGTGAGGCATTAAAGGCCTTTTTGTTTAAGACTCTATAAATCAGGCTCTCTGCTATTTGCAGCTAAATTTATGCCTTACTCCTCCTCCCCCAGATAGCCTTCCTGCCTGGCTGGATGCCCTTTATTTTGTTCAGAGGACATAGGGAGGTGGTGAACTTCCAATCTCATTTGGCCAGAAACTCCCAGGGGTCACAACCTCCATTTACAATCCATGTGTTTTTAGGATTTACCTCCAGTAGAGAATTCTGAAGCTTCACACTGAGGGCAGCTTTCTCATCTTCCAGTTGCTTTATTTCCCTTTCTGATTTTGTCTTTACCTCTTCCAATTGAGCTTCCACTTCCTAAATGAGGATTAGAAGGATTAGCCACATAAGGTAGAAAACATCCACACCTTGCCTTACCCTGAAGAGGGATCAAAGAAACCAGCAGAATGAAGTACTAGAAGAGCACATGGATTCTAAGTACATAGCCAATCAAGAGAAAAGAAGCGTTAAGTTCATACCACACAGCCTGGTCCATATACATATAGGCTAGAGTGTGGCAGGTAGATCCTAAACTCTAAATTTTCTAGCATCATTTAAGAAAAGGAATGTCCCAAGTGTCCCACAAGTACAAAACAAAACAAGCAAACAGCAAAGAACACCCAGCTACATTTTCAGGGCATCTTCCTATCTTAACAGCAGCATACAGTAGCTAGAATGATGGCTCCTCCACAGCCTCTCCCACAGCCTTCCAGCATCAGTATGAAGCAGTTATGGTACACTCTGAAGACCATGTGAGAAGCACTGCCTCATCTTAGCTGTGTCATCCTGAGCACATTTCCTCCCGTGTGTGCTCACTGTGTTACATGCTTAGCACAGTAACAGTTCAGTAAATGATAAAAGCATGATCATTCCTAGGGATGCCGGGCTTTTCAAATATGGCTTAATTTATGGAGAAAATCTCTAAATACTTAGAGTAAAAGGCCATCCATGGCTCTCAGCTGGCCTTTAGCTAGATTGCACCATTTATTCATCAAACAAATATTTGCTGAGCTGTATGTACCACATGCTGGGAACTATTTTCAGAACTGGAGTAAAACGAAAAAGCTTAAATTCCAGGGATTTATTTGGAATGTAGGCAATAGGACTCAGTGAAAAGAAATGGCTCAGTGGTTAAGAACACTTGAAGAGGACCAGTGTTCTAGTCCTAGCACCCACATGGTGGCTCACAGCCATCTGTAACTCCAATCCCAGGGGATCTGACACCCTTTGCTGGCCTCTACACTTTCTGTCACATACAGACACACACTTAAAATGAATAAAATAAAAACAAAACAAAAGCAAGGCCAAAGTAAGACAACTAGAAGAAGTTCCAACACAAATCCCACTCACTCTAGCCTTTCCTGTAAATAAGACAGTACACGATCTGAATGGAAATTCTATGCTGGTTGTGGACTTTTCTGGTCTAACTGAGAGTGGATGAGCATACTAAACATGGCTGATGTTTACCGAGTGATTATTACCATTTGTGCACACTGTTCATAGATGAGTTCTTCTTAGGTTCTACTACTAAAGCTTATTATGTAAAAAGAGGAAATAAAGCTTAGAGATGTGCAAAGACTCGTGCAAGTGAGATGTCAAGGTTTAAACCAGGAAAACATGGATTGGCTGTATGTCTTTGCTGAATTCTCATGGGAAATGTGGATCTTAATTCAGCCACATGCTTGCCTGGGAAGTTTTCCCACCTCTGCTACAGAGAAGACGAGAGAGTACCTGAGCCTGCCAACAGCCGGGTAGGGAAACTGTCCAAACTAGAGCGTTTTACAGGGGAGGCACAAAGAGCACTGGAATCTGTTGTCAGAGGTTTGTGTACCTGGGGCAACTCTGGGTGTCAGATGAGCCCTGTCATTTATTCATGTGTCCAACAGAATGACTGTCGGTGGTCATGACAGAGGAGCACATTCAGCAATAGAGCTTAAAGAGTTCAGTTCATTGAATGGCAGAGTTAAACCCTGGAGGGGCAAAGCCTGGGTGGGGCAGGGAGGATTGTCTCCAGAATGTCCCTTGCTTCTGTGTGCTTCCTTCTGTTAGCTGATGCCGTGTTCCTGCTGTATTACTAGATGAAGGGACCCCACTGTATCTAGTATAGTGTGATTGTTTCTTGGGGAAATCCTACTCCTCACCGAGCAATTTATTTGCAGATCATAATGAAAATAATTTTTATAAGAGCAAGGATACTTAGTTGAATCAATGGTTTAACTGGGCTTTCTGAGTTAATCTAAAAGATACAGGTGGTTAAAACAGTCAAGAAGATTAGAGAAATGGTTTAGGTTATTCTGCAATTGCTCCAATCATAGATACAAAAAAAAGGCAAAAGTAGGCTATACAGATGCTCTGGAGCCATCAGAGTAGGACAGAATTCACATACTTCTGTGTTATACATGAAGGGTAGAGAGAAGTCATTTGATTTCCAGGTTTCTGATTTGAACATCCAAAAACATGTGCTACTGATCACCTGGATAGCATCTTCACATCCTCTGTGGGGCCAAGCCTAGACCAGGAAGTGGTCCTGGGGTTAGCCCTTAGCACTGTTCCTAGCATCATTCATTTTCAAAAAGTCTAAATGAGCTTGTAATTAGATTGTTTGAACTAGGTGACGTGGCAACTTGGTAGGTGGTTTCTCTTCAGTTAAACTGTGCTATCTTCTTCAGGACTTCCGGTTTGGGAGTGTTTGCTTCCTAAAGACAATATATAAATTACCCTTTGCTATTAAATACATTTAAATAAACTAAGGAGCCATCCAACCAGTCAACAAAAAAGGAAGTATTTTTAATTTCACCAATTAGCTTCTCATCCACAGATGCTTTTATTGAATAAAATTCAGTTTACCATGCTTACTGATGTGGAAACAGAGTCTGCCAAGACATACTCACACTATAATAGCCAGTGAAAACACTCTGTGTGATGGCTTTTGGCATAAAGGAAGGGCTGTTTTTAATTTTATAAAGCACAACTTTCCTGTACACATAATCAATCACAGTTTCAGCTGGTGCCTTGACAGATGGACCCAGAGTGAGAAATAAAATCCCCTACTGGTGGAAATAACTAACATCAGCAGTAATATTTAGCATTAATAACCTTCCTCAAAGATGCAGGGTAATGTGGGCTACTGTGAAAACAGTTCTGAGTCAGCTGGAGAACAGAGGGCAGAAAGAGACATGCCCAGCTCAGTTGAAGTGACCTTGGGGATTTCAACAGAAGCATTCATATTCCTCCTTCACAAGGTCAAGAATATGGAGTAAAGAGAATGTTTTCAAATATATGAGTTGATGTACCCTAAGAAGAGGATTCTATGCACTGAGGATTTATCCAATTCAGTGTGCTCTCCTGAGATCCATCCCCACAGAACTCTTATAAACCCAGCAGCAGGATTTTACACGGAGGAAACCCTGTAGCTAACAGGAGCAGGACACAAGCATCACTGAGTCTTTTTTCTGTCTCTCTGTCTGCAATGTCCACGATTACTGGCAGTTTGAGGAAAGAAACAACTGGGAGCTGTGATCCATGCCTGAAATCTTAGGAAGCCAAGGCAGGAGTTTGAGACCAGCCAGACTGGGCTACATGGCAAAACCTCTTCCACCACCATAGACAAAGGGGGAGAAGGCAGGCATGAACAAAGAGAAAGACATGCAAAGGAGCCACTGTGTCCGGAGTCTGTTTTCTGTTGCTAATAACACAGTACCAAAAGCTGAGTAAGTTATAAAGACAAGAGGTCTGCTTTGATCCATGATAAAGGGGTCAAATTTGTTGATCACAAATTCAAGGTCTGCCTTGGCTACAGAGTGAATTCAAAACCAGCCTGGCAACAAAATTAGATGTTATTTTTAAATACAGAATAATAATAACTAGGTATTTAACTCAGTGGTAGAGTATGTGCTGAGCTCTAGGCTTCATTCCTAGTACAACATACACATCTATGTGCACACACAATGATATATATGTACATATGTGTATATATGAATCTATACATATGTACTATATGTACAACACAGAAGTAGGTGAATTCTGTTCTATTCTGGTGACCCCAGAATATCTGCATGCATATATAAGATAGAGAGACAGCTCAGTGGTTCAGAGCATGTATTGTTCTTAAAGAGAACCAGAATTTAGTTCCCAGAACCCTCATTGGGTGGTTATAACTTTATAACCACCTATAACTCTAGACTATCTAAAATCAGTAGGCCAGGCATAGTGACATACACTTTTAATTACAGCACTTGAGAGGCAGAGGAGAGTAGGTCTCTGTGAGTTTAAGACTAGCCTTGTATACATCAAAAACGCCAGGCCAACTAGGATGACATAGTATGAAGCTGTCTCAAAAATTTTATCTTAATGCAAAAGTAATATATGATTAGATTTATAATGTGTAAAATAGAATATATGACAACAAACATACATAGGGCAGGAAAAAAGAAATGGAAAGTATTACAATATAGTTCTCATATGTGAGGAGATATAATATTATTTGAAGAAGACTGACAAATTTTTTTTGGTTTTTCGAGACAGAGTTTCTCTGTATTATTTTGGTGATGAATTCTTTTTTTAAATGTATTTATTTTTATTTATGTGCATCTGTGTTTTGCCTGAATTTACATCTGTGTCAGGGTGTCAGATATTGGAATTATGGACAGTTGTTAGCTGCCATGGGGTGCTGGGGATTAAACCTGGGTCCTCCTGAACAGCAGTCAGTTCCCTTAACCACTGAGCTATCTCTCCAGCCCCTGACTGGTAAATTTTTAATGCATATTATTAATCTTTGAGTAAACATTAGTTTTCCATCTGCAAAAGAGAGGCATAAGAAGTCAAAAGTGGGGGTAAAAATGAAATACCCCAAAAATTCAATGCATCAAAAATAAACAGTAAAAGTGGAGACAGTTAACAAATACGACAGGAAGGTAAAAGTGTCAGGTTAGTAGGCTTAAGCAGAGATAGCCAAACTGCACTTATAAGCAAAACACAACTATATCACTTAAGTTGTTCTGTGGATTTGGGACATTATCACCCATTTGGTAGCTGCCAAGTGGAATCTCCTGAACCTCCAGAAACCTATCTATTACTGTATACTAAATTCCTTTTCCTGATGAACTGTCCAATGGATCTGAGTCCCAGGAGGACTCTTAAGTATACAAATGCAATGGGAAATGCAGACATGTTGAGCAGATCTTGGGAGAGCTCAGTAAATCTGCTTACACCCCATCCCAAATAAGTACTGTGTGCAAATGTTAATTATAGGACATGCACTAAGTTCCATCTGCCAAGATGGTATGCTGATGTTCTCTAGTCCTGTGACCAGGAGAGATAGGCAGTCTTCCAGGCCAATCCAGCCCACGGCCCTCCATTTGCTCCTTTATGTCAGGGTAGTACCCACACTAAAGTCTTAAATAAAGCAAATCTAATGCTACAGGGACAACTTGTGTCTATTTATAGCTCACAAAACCCTGGATTGAAGGCCTCTTCAAGGCTTTGTGTTTCCCTCATTTGCTGCCTCATTTACACTTCCAAATTCAAATATGAACAAAAAGGAAAGCAGTGACAGGAGCTAAACACAGCTTATTTCTATGTGATTTATTTCCCAAATGGACTTGTGACCTGATCACGACTGAGAGTCAGATTTGTCCATCATGTTACCAGGGCAACCTGCAGCTTGAGCAAGTGGCTGTCCCTCCTGCTAATGGGGTCCCAGAATAGAGTGTTAGTCTGTTTGTCAGAAGATTGGACATGTACAGTTCACAGAAGCTCATGGAAGAAAAATGCTTTCAAATGACTGTCTTCTCCATGTGACAGTGGGGAGTCATAGACTTTGGTGACAGGTTGTTGGGTTTGAATAGAAGCTCTCTCTCTCTCAAAAGATTTATTTGTTTGTTTATTATGTATACAGTGTTCTGCCTGCGTGTATGCCTGCATGACAGAAGAGGACATCGCATCTCATTATAGACAGTTGTGAGCCACTATATGGTTACTGGAAATTGAACTCAGGACCTCTGGAACAGCAGCCAGTGCTCTTAGCCACTGAGCCATCTCCCCAACCTGAATTGAAACTGTTGTACCCACTATCTGTCTAACTAACATCTCTGGACTTGGTTTCTTACTCTCTAGCATCAGAAAGACTCAAGGTGTTTGTGAACACTTAATATAAATTATAAAGGTACTTAATATTTTTATCTCACATGCTACCACATGATAATTAATAGATGCTGTCTGTTAAACTGTTGCTGCAGAAGGTTCATATGTAACACCATATTTAAATGTGAATAACAAACACTGTCTTTAGAGAGGTTAAGGCCCACACCACAGTCAGAGAGCTTGTGGAGAGTGAAAGCGTAGGCCCACGAATAGGGTGGGTGTTTCATGTGCCATATTTACTTATTGAATACATATTTATTGAATACTTACTGTTTTTAGCACTGTATAACACTGTCCCGCAGATATATCTGATTATCTTTCAGTGAACACTCAACACTGGTACCTCTCAAACCACAAAGACGCTTATCTCAATCAAGTGATGTCTTCTCCCATGCTAATAATAATATTGATTTACATGTCCCCTTTTTTGAGGCAGGGTCTCCATGTATAGCCCAGTTTGGCCTTGAACTCATGATCCTTCTGCCTTAGTTTCCCTACAGTCCTCATATATGTGACACACTTTTTCTAGCTAATAGGACAAAGGAGGGTCCCCCATATTGTGTGTGGACAATGTCCTGTCTCTGTGGGAGGTACGGTCAGCACAGCCACTGAGTTAGGGCACTAGTAGACGCTTTATTTCCTCGTATGGATTCTGTCCCTCAACCCTCACAGTACTCAGAGAGGTTCTTTTACGATCTTAATAAGAAACTTGGGGAAAGAAGAATTTCAGAGAATAGGTGGATGGGGTAGCTAAATAACTTCCTGTGGGCACCAGAGTTGGAATTCTTCTCAGTTAGTGGAGTTTTTCTGGTTTTGTTGTGTAAGCAGAATTGAATTTCCCTAAGTTAAATGTCACATGACACAATCCTTCTCTGTGTCAGCAACTCCAGAAGCTAGAGTGCTCCACATCAGGTGTCTCCCATTACCGCCCCCTAGTGACCTTCTGCCCCCTACGAGCAGTGACTGTTTTCTTTACCTGTCATCAGAGAACCTGCCTAGATGTGCACATAGTAGGAGCACAATAAAAGTTTGGGTAAGGAAAGAGGAAAGGGGAGTGGGAAGGGTGGGGGAAAGGGACAACCCTAGAACAATCTGCAAGCACAGTTCACCTTCAGCTTCTTTCTGTCCACTTCCACAGAAGAGCGCACCGACTTCATTTCCACGGTGTGTTTCTTCACCAGCTCTTCAAGGCGCTTCCCCAGCTGCTCTCGGAGCTGCTGCTTCTCCTCCTCAGTCTGATGTCTGACTTTACGAAGATCTTCTTCATATTTCTGCTTCATTCGTTCTAGCTCACCACTTGCTTCTTTCTCAATCTGTGATTAATGGAAATACAACTTTGTAAGACTGCCGGAGAGAGACAAGGTCCATGTCTCTTTCCTACATTTATATACTGATTTCATAGCAAGTATTAGATGGTGTGGAGCATTTTACAAGACTATATATTTGATATTTGTAAGAGATTTCACTGTGTATACCATTAGAAGAAAGCTCTCTAGAATGACATGGCTGTCACAGTATCAGATGTTTTGAGTGGAAATAGGATCTAAGCAATGCCTACTTTCTCTGGTAAATACAAACTTGGGAAAATTCTTCTATATTTTTGTTCTCCTAAGTTTGAATGGCATGGATATGGCAAGTAACTTGTCTGGAACTGGAAAGATGGCTCAGTGGTTAAGAGCATAGTTTGATTCCCACTATCCACATTATGTCTCACAATCATCAGTACCTCTGGTTCTAGGGGATCCAGTGCCCTTTTCTGGACTTTGCAGATATCAGGCAAAGCATCCATACACATCAAATCAATCAAATCAAATCAATGACGCCTCATCCATTCCTGAATAATGGGGCTTGAGGTTCCAAGTGGATCCACCATAGTTAGAGGGATGGCCTCTACCTGAAGCTCATGCCAGCTGTCTGTGACTTCTCCACCCCCAGTTTTGTCAGAAAATACCTGGGTTTCTGAGCCTCTTTTATTGCAGTGACACAACTTGGGAAAGCCTTGGACCTGCTGAGGATGAAGCTTGCAGGCTTCCAGGTCATTTGTTTTCCTCAGGACTTCACTTTCAGTCTTCACATCATCTGCAAGTGTAAGTTTACACATCAATAGAGATGTTCATATCCAAGGTCTTCTGAAGTTAGGTCTGCTACTCAACTGTCTTGCTTACCACTGCAGCCCTCAAGTGTGGTCAATGCAATGACTCTCATCCTCATTCAAAACAGTATCCTGAGCTTAAATAATTGCCACATTCTGTCCCCCTGAATAAAAATATTTTTTCTTGTTCTATGAACTAAAAAAGTTGATCATGTTTTCCAGTATATGTATATTCATCAGAGTTTAAGAAGAAGCAATAGGTATAACTATAACTTCTTCCTTCCTTTTTTTTCTTTCTCTGTTTCCTGTGCCCTTGCTAAATATTACTGTTTTAAACCCTTGACATCCTTCTGTTTCCAACATAAACCTAGGGATTTTTCTCTTTTTCCCAGATACCTTGGTCCTCTGCTCCCTGGGCAACACCCCTATCCCAAAGCATGCAAGGGCTGCAATGGAACCATGTCTCAAGTTTCCCAAAGGCAGAGTCCATGTTTCCTGCCTTTGCCATCAACACAGTCATAGCTCAAGCATTCAAGAGCTTTTAGTTGTGAGATCCTAGTTAAAGACACTTAGAGTTAGATGTCTTTAGGTCTAAACACTGGCTTTTATCACCAGACTTTTAGCTGACCTCCAGTCCTCTCTTGGCCTCACTTCATCATTTATAATATGGGAGAATGACAAACACTTGTCTCACAAAATCATTGGGAAGACCCAATAAAGGAACTGTACAAATTACTGCTAAAAATGCAAGGCCCACCTCAGTCATGAAGAAGATGAAGCAAACAAGCGGCATCATGGAGAACACTGTGAGGGGAAGGAGCTCCTTTGCGTCAAAGCTTTTAGCTATCTGGCCTGTGCCACTCCAGGTGAGGAGCTGGTGACGCTGACTCTTCTGTGCCCAGCACAGTCTTGATTCATCCCCTTAGTAGGTCAGATTCAATGGTCCTGCTCCTGCTCCCTCAGTCTTGAGACAACCCCTGGTGCCAGACTAACCTGGTGGCTAATCCTCCATATTAAAGGAATCAATGTGGGGCACCTCACCAGCTTTCCCTGTCACAGGACACTCCTGTAGCATCAATCTGTCTTTGGCAATAGCCAACTTCTCGCCGAGTTTTCTTGCAGTGCTCTTCAACTCGGAATTCTCCCGCCGAGCCTCCCTCAGCTGCACATCGAGGTCCTAAACAGAGGGAAGCTCTTAGTTTTCTGGATGAAGAAGCCAAGTGCACAGAACAGCTGCTGGATCTGAAAGGTGGATGAGGTCGGCACAGCAGGGGTCATGAGGCTCTAGGATTAGCAGCCCTGAAGACTCCTCCGAAGAAGAAACTACGAATACCAGACACTGGGTTATATATGACAGATTCAGGGACTGGCAGCTGCAGAAACAGCAGCAAGCCTGTGTAGATTATTGCTAGAGGGTCTGTCAGCAAATCCTTACCCACCCTCCAATGGCAGTGTGGCCCTGGGAAAGTTATTTAACCCTTCTCCAGGGAGAAGAAAAATATGTAGAAAAAAATACTTGGGGAGTAATAGAAATGCTAGCCATAGCTTTGAGAGATGGCTTTCTGTGCTTCTGCGGGACTTGTAAAACTGACTTGTCAATGGGTCTGCTCTCTTTGAACAAAAATGTCCTCAGGATTTTAGGAGAGTCAAGTTTTCTATAGAATGAACACACAAAATTAAAATAATTAATTAGACTAGCCAGAATTGAAAAATTTACAGTGTGGCCACATGGGCCAGGCATTAACAACCCCCATTATCTTCTCATCTGTAAACTGTAAGGCTTTGTGCTCTTTGAGGCGTGGGATAGTCTAGCTCACTGTGCATCCTCTGATCATAAACCTAGACCTAGTGCAAAGTAAGTATTTAATAAATATTTGCTGACTGTGGGAGAATTGATACCAACAATAATACTGGTCTTGGTGGGAGGGGAGTGCTTGGCACAGTGCCCGGCTAGTGGTGGGTGTTCAGCTCTGCCTGTTATGGCCTGCCGAGGAAGAAAAGACTTTACCTGGATCCTTTCTTTCAGCTTCTGGGCATACTTCTTCAGGTCACTTATCTTGCGCCCTCTGTGTTCCAGGTCCCCTTCCAGCTTCCTGACCTGAGCCTGCAGGGCAGACTCCTGGACCTGGAAGTTCTTTCGAAGGCCTGACTCTTTCTCCTGCCACTGCCACAGGGCCTCGCTGACTGACTGCTGCATGGCCTGCCGGATGGCCTCATTTTCGCGCTCATAGGTGGCCTGTAGCTCCTCTGCTTTGCGGGCATAATCCTGGCTCAGCTGCTGGTTTTCTGCTCGCAATCGCTCCACTTCCAGCAGGACCTGGTGCATCTCCGGTCGCTGGCCAGACTCTGCTGTGGCATCGGGGCTCTCCTGGGATAGCTGGCCCCACTGCGGGCCCTCGTGGCTAGTCAGCAGTTGGAGCCTCTTCTCATAATCAGCCTTGAGCTCCAGCATCTCCTTGGAAAGTATTAGGACCCGTTCGGCATGCTCGGCCTCCACCCGCAGCTCTCTTTCTTTGGTTTCTAACTTACAGGAGGCTGACTCAGCCAGGGCCTCCTGTGTCAGCCTCTTCTGCAGCTCCAAGGCACTCTCAAGGGTCTGGATGCGCTTGAGAAGGGTCTCTGCATCTTCACTGGTGTAGCCCTGTTCCTGCAGGAGCCTGGTCCTGGTTTCAGCCACTGTGTCCTGGAGCTCCTCCTGGTGGGCTTCTCGTAGTGACTCAGCACTGGCCTCTGCCTCATCCTGGCGGGTATTCAGGGCATAAATCACCTGCAGGACAACCGACAGGGTAATCAGGTGATACATGTGAGGGTAATGTGACCAGGGATGCTTCACCTGGACACTGAGATCCATTCACACTTGCACTGCCAGAGAGAAGGATTTTCAGAGTGGCAAAGACTTGGCAATTTGGAATTGTTCCCAGGAGAAGCCAGGAGGAGAACCTTGCAGTGTGACCAGCAGGTAGTGGGACCAAGATCAAGGAGTGACAAGCACAAATATTTGGGAGGGCATTTTTGGTGGAACTGTCTAAGAAATCCCCCGAGTACAGAAGGAATCCAGGGAAGAGTTTTAAAGGGAAGAAATGATGTGATTTCATTTGTTAGAAAAACAATGCTTTGGGATGCAAAAATCCAATAAAATCTTAGAGAATTGAACCCAGAAATATACCTAATAGACACAGGAGAAGCATTTGAGAAAACCTAACATCTTTCTTTCTTTTTTGACACAGGGTTTCTCTATGTAGTCCTGACTGTACTGGAACTTGAGCTGTAGATCAGAGCAGCTTTGAACTCAGAGATCGGTCTGCTTCTGCCTCCTGAGTGCTGGGATTAAAGGCATGTATCACCATGACTGGAAAACCCAGTATCTTTCTATGGTTAAAAAAGACAATTTTGTTTTATACAGCAAACTATTACTAGACAGAGAAAATCTACAAAAACCCATGGTTAATAATCATAATCAGCCAGGTAGTGGTGGCTCAAGCCTTTAATCCCAGCACTGGGAGGCAGAAGCAAGTGGGTCTCTGTGAATTCAAGGCTAGTCTAGTCTAGTCTAGTCTATAGAGCTAGTTCCAAGACAGCCAGGGCTACCTAAGAAACCCTATCTCAAAAAAAATAATCATACTCAATAAGAAAGACTGAATATTTTCTTCAGAAGGTCAGGAACAAGGCAAGGATCACCTGTCCACTCTACTTCTAAAACACAAGCAAGGCAAGAGATGCTTAACATGTCAAGTGGAGAATGGTATGAAAGGGGTTTAGAATCCAGTGTAAACCCAGGAATTGAGAATGATGCCCAGGGAGTTGATCTGGAAAACAGGTAAATATTTACTGAAATTTTAAAAATCTGTAGAAAGAAAGATCTCTGTGAGTTTGAGGCCAACCTGGTCTACAGAGTAAATTCCAGGCTATCCAGGGCTACATAGTGAGACTCTGCTTCAAAAACAAACAAACAAACAAACAAACAAACAAAAAACCCCAAACCCTGAAGGTAGTCTGAGTATGGTGAAGAAAACCGGGAATTGTGTTTGACAGTATTTAATACACCTCTAGATATAACTTGTGAAGAAGACACCAAGGAAAGATCTTAGAGTTGGAAGTCTGAGCTAGAGACGAAGAGCTACAGAATGAAAAGAGTTTCCCAGGTGCGGCTGTTTGCTATAAAGAAGTCTAGAATATATCTGTGTGTAAGTTGAGAAATGACTGACAGGGAACCCAAAAGTGAGGTTCCAGGAAAAAAAGTAGTAGATCAAATTCCCTGAAAAGGGTTTCTCACAGAGATGGGTCTTCCACAAGAGACAGAAGGAAGGGACATTTTCATTTCAGGAAATCCTCATGATAACCCCACAAAGTTGGTACTTTTTCTTTTTATTCTACCATTGAAAATTGAGTTTCAGAGAAGTTACACAACTTTTAGAAAGCTTAAAAAATATAATCAGGAACATGTACACTCACTGCCCAGGACTGCAGTCTGTTTCACTGATTCTTTTATTCTTTTATTTATTTATGGATTTTCTGCATACCTGGGAAGAGTTAGGTTCCATACTGGGCACTGGAAATATACATAATTGAATTTACAACCTTAGAAATAATACTCATCGGACTGTGGAAATGATTCAGCTGGTAAAATGCTTGCCATGAGGACTTAAATTGGCTCCCTAATACCCACATAAAAACTGGGTATTGTAGCATGCCTGTAATCCCAGCATGGAAGAAAAAAAATTGCAGGATCCCTGGGTCTTGCTGCATAGTGTAGCTTAATTAAGGAGCTCCAGGTTCAATGACAGACACTATCCTAAAAAATAGGTATATAAATTAATGGTTGAGTCAGGCCTGGTAGCATACAGCATTCAGAAGTCAGTGGCAAGCAGATCTGTTTGAATTCAGGACACTCTGATCTACAAAAGCTTCAGGACAGCCAGAGTTACATTGTGAGACAGGCCTTGCTTCAACAAAACAAAACAAAACAAAACAAAACAAAACAAAAACAGGTAGAAAGAGATTGAGGATGTCACCTGATATTGACCTCTAACCTCTGAATATACTGATGCACATAGTGCCCACACACAGAATATATATAAATTCAAGTATAGATATTTATTTGAAGTGTTGTGTGTGTGTGTGTGTGTGTGTGTGTGTGTGTGTGTGTGTTTCAATACATACTGACAATTGCTATGAGAGGACTACAAGTTACTATAGAAACAGAGACAGGACTCTGATAGGAAACACCTTTCAGAAAAAATTGAGCCTTTCTGTCTCTTCAGTCTTGAGGTGATCAGTCCCCTTTTGCTGTCAATTTCTGAATGCACAAAAACAATTTCCTTTCTCTGTGTTGATCCACAGCACTTTACATGAAGAGGAGGGCAGAGGAGGGCAGGATAGGCTCCTAACAAGTGTCCATAATGAAATTGTTAACAGATCATCAATAATGAACACCCTACCCTCCCTCCTCTCACAGAGAACAATTGCTGCTAGGAACAGATGTCAAAAGAGACAGCATTTCCTAGTCACATGCACTGAAGTAGGACCATCTGAGTAGAACTGAGTGAACGGGATGATGAGTTTCATCTTAGGGCCAAATGGTGTTAAGATTACCAAAGGTGTATGTCCTTCCTAGTCTTCCTGCTGGCATTTACAAACATAAAACTCAGAATTTACAGGATAAATTTAAAATGAAAAGCATCTGATACCCAATGACAAAGAAAGTTTGCCTATCCACTGGGAGCACTGGACATTACCTACACATGAACTATGGCATTGAGCCTCTGACCTCCTGGTCTTGTCTAGTATGACATTTGATAGTTCCTCTGCTATGACAGAGGTTGTAAATACCACCCCAAGTTTGGTGACTCACTGAAGGACCACAATCTCAGCACATATTCACACACATGGCTGTAATGTATTGCAGCAAATCAGCTAAGGAACAGGTGTCTGGGAGTAAAGCTGAGGGCAAGCTTCCAAGAGTTCTTTCTGACCGGAGCTAAGTCACTCAGTGAGACGATGTGGCGATATATGTAAAATAATCTGCGAGGGAAGCTCTGATCAAGGACAACAATAGATGTGCCAAGGTGGATGGGGAAAGAACGACAGGCAATTGAGGAATGCTGAATTCGGGAAATATTCTTCCCCAGGGGAGAACACACCAATTGAGTAGATTATATTTAGGAGTACATAGATACATATATACGTGTAGCAGCAATTAATGAAAAAAGAGGGCATGCATTTGAAAGAGGCTAAGGATAGATATGTGGGAGGGTTTAGACTCTAGTAGAGGAAGGAAGGAAGGGAAGGGAGGATGATGTAATTGTAATCTCAAAAGTAAAAGAAAAATATGTGGAAACCAAGCTTTTTACTGCTCAGGAAAACAATCTCTACTTGACATGCAGCAGAGTTATAAACTCAAAGAAGGAAAGCAGATATTCAATAAAAATGACATTTTGGAAATAGTGAGAACAGTTCAAACTAGTTCTATGATAAAAATGTTCCATCACCCCTTTTCCACAAGAGGAGATACCTTTTTCATTTCTTCCTAAGGATCTTGTATTAATTATAAAGATTTAATTTTTCTAAGGTCATTTTCTGAGAATTCACTAGTGGCATTTATAAGCTGGAAAGTAAATTCTATTTACTAGTAGAAATGGAAAAAATAAAGTAAAATTCACTTAATGATGATTTATCAGATAAATGTGAATAATTTCCATAGAAACAACTTCATAACCCTGATATTAACCTACACACATATGATACTTGGTTTTTGACAAAGAAGCTAAAATTATACAATGGAAAAAATCAGGCATCTTCAACAAATGGTGCTGGCATAACTGGATGCTGGCATGTAGAAGACTGTGGATAGATCCATGTGTATTGCCATGCACAAAACTTAAATCCAAATGGATTAAAAACCTCAACATAAATCCAGTCACACTGAACCTGTTAGAAGAGAAAGTGGGAGGTACCCTTGAACAAATTGGTACAGGAGATTGCTTCCAGAACATAACATCAGTAGCACAGACAGTGAGGTCGACAATTAATTCATGGGACCTCCTGAAACTGAGAAGCTTCTGTAAGGCAAAGGACACCGTCAATGAGACAAAAAGGCTGCCCACAGAATGGGAAAAGATATTCATTAACCCCACATCCAACAGAGGGTTGATCTACAAAATCTACAAAGAACTCAAGAAGCAAGTCTCCAAAGCACCAAAGGATCCAATTAAAAAGTGGGTTACAGAACTACATAGAGAATTCTCAATAGAGGAGTCTAAAATGAGCACTTAAGAAGTGCTCAACATCCCTAGCAATCAGGGAAATGAAAATCAAAACAATTCTGAGATACCATCTTACTCCTGTCAGAATGGCTAAAATCAAAAACTCTAATGACAGTTTATTCTGGAGAAGATGTGGAGAAAGGGGAACACTCCTCCACTGCTGGTGGGAGTGCGGACTCATACAGTCACTTTGGAAATCAGTATGGAGATTCCTCAGCAAAATGGGAATCAGTCTACCACAAGACCCAGCAATTCCACTCTTAGGCATATACTCAAAAGATGCACATTCATACAATAAGGACATCTGTTCCACTATGTTTATAGCAGCATTATTTGTAATAGCCAGAACCTAGAAGCAACCTAGATGCCCCTCAACTGAAGAGTGGATAGAGAAATTGTGGTACAATTACACAATGGCGTATTACTCAGCAGAAAAAAACAATGGGATCTTGAAATTCGCAGGTAAATGGATAGCGCTGGAAGAAACCATCCTGAGTGAGGTAAC